AGAGAGAGAGAGAGAGAGAGAGAGACAGCACTATTCCCACTAAAAGTAAAGGCCACAATTTTCCCTCACTTGTAATCTTACTTACCTTCTACAAGTTCCCAGAGGTAGACCTCTACCCCAGAAGTAGGCATCTGATTGTAAATATAGTGTTGTCAGTCAACCTGACAATCTAGTGGAGTCATACTAGGTTGGAATTCTGGCCCCAGTACTCACTAGCTATTTATTTCAGGAAAATCTCCCAGAGCCTCTGTCCTGTCGTATATAAAATGGAGTCACAGTGGACCTTCCACGTGGGCTGATGTGAGCACTGAAAGTGTTAACATAATTAAAGTTCTTGCACACAGTAGGTGTTCGAGAAATGTTAACTACAACAATACTTACAATTATTTAGAAAACCTACTCTGTAGCAAATAGTTCTTTATGGTGAATACATTTTCTGCCTACCTCTCATTGTGTAAGCATTCATGAAAAGAGGAGTGCACTGGCTTTTTTTAAGATTCTTATGCGGCAGAGGTCCACTTATGTCCTGTTCATTGATGTCACAAACAAACATGTCTTCAGGCTGTTTGTAGAGGGGGGCAGAGAAGAAAAAAAAGGCTTATACGATATCAATTAGAAGTGTCCCCTTTCTGGTGTGTGTGTGCTAAGATGTATGTATGCATATTTAACCCATCTTTTAAATATTCATATAATTGTTTCTCTTCCAAAATGTTTTAGCCATTTTGAGAAATAAAAACTGTTTTCTACTGATAAAAATATTCTCAAGAGAGCTGCAATTCTTCCTTTAGAATTTGAAGAAACAATTGATATGGAAAATTTCATATGCATGTAATGACACTTCATCAACTTAGCTTCTTGGCTTTCCCCTGTCATTTCACAACTATATTTCAGAGAAACTCTACAAAGATATCATCATTCTAAGATGGGGGTTACAGTTTTTTCTTCATATGTCATCATAGGAGGAAAAATATAGAGTAGAATTTTCTTATCTCCTGAGAAAGGGAACTCGTACTCAGACATGTTAATCTCAGTAAGGTATATTATTCTTAAAGTTGAAGTAATTAAGCAGATCCACAGATTTTTCCTAGTAGTGCATGCATACTTCTGACTTGTGACTTTCATTTGCCAGGGTTTATTATAAACTACAATATAAATGTCTTATTAATGAAGGATTATGCCTTAGGAGTTAAGTGTTATGTTTAAATTTTCAGCACTCCAGCATTAATATGGAATGAGACTTCTCAAAAATCTGAAATAAAGTTTTATAACTTAGATTGGAATAGCTTTGCTATTGTTTAATATGAGCCAGTTTGGTCCATTGAGACCATCAACGTGATCACCCTACCAGCCTGATAAAGACAGTGTTATAATGCTGCAAAATTATAATCACTTTGTAGTAGGACTTAAGATTGTGCCATTCACTTGTGCCCTCTAGAGGATGAATGACAATTCAAAAATATTAGTTGCATGGAGGTTCAACTTAAAAAAAAAATTTAATAGTTACTTAAGAAATGTTTATTGATTATTCATTTAAATTATCAATATAAGCCCCCCTCAAAACTTCTTTTAAAATTAATTCCATTTCACAAAACAATAATAATCAAGTAGAGAAGAAAAGAGCTTTGGGGTCAAGAAGGAACCTTTAACATACCTGAATCCGTTCCTTTTGCACTCCTGAAGGAGCAATGTAGATCTCATCGCTGGTAACACAAAATGTAGAAATTGGTATGTATTTAACTCTACTGTTCTGCTTTTGAACAAAGGCAAGTGTATTCTTACAGTCCAATCATCAATATTCTTTATAAATCAAATCACACAGAAAGCTGCTTGAATTAATTAATGATGTGTGCTGTATAGAAAGAATAACAAATTACTAATGCACTGTAATTACATTACAAACGTAATGCTGGTGATGCAGTAAAATGTTGGCAGTTTTCATATATATTTCTTTATTTCTGTTTACAGTGCAAAATCAATGGTAACCAGATTTTTATCTGGTTATGGGAAATAAAACAAGTCTTTGGCATCTTTAAGCATGAGATTGCAGTTTATCTCATTAAATGTAGAACAGTTATTACAAAATCCAATCAGGGGAAGATATGCTCATGAGCAGATGATCTCTGTCTCGCAAGGGATCAAGTTTAATTTTGGTGCTTGAAATGCTCTGCTTATAAAACATGAAGTTCAGGGACCCCTGCTGGACACCTTATTGAATTACAGCATTAACACTAAGCTACTTTTTGGGTGGAATATATGCTTCCTATTTGAAAAGCACATCTTTCTTGTGAAACTATTTGGTAATAAAGCTGAAACAACTGTGGAAAGTTAAAAATACGGATAAAAGGCACGGTTCCATCTGGAGATGTGTCTGTTACAGAATGTTGTGCTAGGGGAGATGCTATAATGTACCATTTGTCACAAAGTACTCTCAAATTTGATTGGGAAATTAATAATCTTCTCTAAATTCTCTCCAGCCTCAACAAAGGTCCTTTGTCTCCTTTGTCAGTTTCAGTGGCTCCCAGAAGGTAGTAAAGAGCTGCCACATACATGCGATTGAAAGAAATACCAGCACCTGAATGCTCCAGCTTCTGCCGCTGAGACATGGATGTAGGGACACTGGTTCCTGGTGAAAAATGAGGATGATGGCCTATATTGAGTCAGGCCATCAATCCAGTTATTAATAAACCCATAGACTTGTAACTGACAAAAATGAAAGTTCCTTTAAGGGTCCACTGGTAAACTAAGATCTGGAAAAGAAATGTCTGGTAATGGGAGTGAAATCCAAACCACAGTAAGCTACATTCAGTTGTTTTCATGAAATAGCTCGCTTTAGAGCTTTGTTGCATAAAAAAACCCACGACATAAGAAAACAGAGTGGCACTCCTCTGGAACCAGTGGAATCAGAGGGATCATACAGTTAGAAAGAGTTCTTTGCAAATACCGGGGATCCAAATCTCCTTTCCTTATGTAACATGGAAGAAATTCTAGACTCATGTGTGATATATAGTCAGTGGACTTGTAGGGTAAGTCTTCTTGTGTGGGGAGAAATGTATGCAGTCCTGGGAACAGACCCAAATAAAGTTTAAAACAGCCTGTTAGTAAATACACTCCATCTACAAAGTGGGAAAATCCAGGGTATTGTTTATTCAAGGGATTTCGTAATCTGAATCTGTTTTTATTGCTCCCTTTGTGAAAACAAAACTGATCAACTTTGGGTAATTAAAAGATTAGCTAAATATGTTTTAGAAAAAATATATATTTACATCTACAAAGAAGGAGGTACCTGGATAAAAATGTAAAGATGATAGAAACTCTATTTTATTTTTGAGAGAGAGCGTGGGGGAGGGGGAGAGGGAGAGAGAACCTTAAGCAGGTTCCATGCCCAGCACAGAGCCTGATCTCAGGACCCTGAGGTCATGACCTGAGCCAAAATCCAGAGTTGGACACTTAACTGATGAGCCGTCCAGGTGCCCCGAGAGCCTTTATTTTAGGAGGGAAATGTGCCAAAGACTAAAAGGGAAGTATTTACTTGGTGCCGTAAGCCACAAACAAAAAGCATTTTGCATCTGAAGTATTAAGTTTTGAAATTTATTTCTCGGTACTGCCTGCTCTTTCACTATTCCATAAGGAGGGAAACAAAATTCAAGAGTTCAAAATACATCTATGTTCAGTTGTGTCTATTTTTATTTACTGCCTAGCTATTTAAAAAATTTAAATCTAGGGGCACCTGGGCGGTTCAGTTGCACGTCTGACTTTGGCTCAGGTCATGATCTCGTGGTTCCTGAGTTCAAGCCTCCCATTGGGCTCACTGCTGTAGCTCAGAGCCTGTAGCTCAGATCCCTCAGGGGATCCTCTGTCACCCTCTGTCTGCCCCTCCTGTTTGTGGTCTCTCAAAAAAATTTTTTTTTAAAAATTTAAATCATAATATACCTCACATATCTTGTCTACACTACAGGTTTATCAAATTTAATTTTAATAGCATGAATAGGACTGGTGTCTCTGACACGTTTCAGTATCACACCATGAAAACAGGAAATGCGGGGCACCTGGGTGGCTCAGTCGGTTGAGCGTCCAACTCCAGCTCAGGTCATGATCTCACACTCTGTGAGTTCGAGCCCCGCGTCGGGCTCTGTGCTGTCAGCTCAGAGCCTGGAGCCTGCTTCAGATTCTGTGTCTCCCTCTCTCTCTGTCCCTCCCTTGCTCATGCTCTGTCTCTCTCGGTCTCAAAAATAAATTAATAAAAACATTAAAAAAAATTAAAAAACAAAAAACAAAAAACAGGAAATGCTAAATGTGAATGGTGGTGCCCCAACCTAAATACAATGGCTGTTGAGTGTCTTGGAATTGCTTCGATTACTGTCATTTTCTTGCTCTTCTATTTCCTCCTTCTGATTTAACTCTCATATGTATCTTAAGCTGTCTTTTATACACATCTTTTGGTACCACACACAAGTAGTATAATCTAAAATGGTATCAGCCAAACCTTGGAATCAGTAAATAATTTTGTATCTCCAAACATAATCTATTGGGTTTGTCCTTCATTCCAAATTTATTTGCTTTAAGCATCAAAGAAAACCTAACTTTCACCTATAACATGAGAATAACATAGCAAAAAGTTAATGATGTGGGTTTATGAAGTCATTTAAATCCTAGGAAAAAAATTCAACATTTTACTACAAATTACCCATCTTATTTTGCAAAGCACACGTTTAATAACATTCCAAACAATGCCATAAAATTGGGGCTGTTTCCACCCGTGACCTCCAGGAGGAGCTCCTCACCCATTAAGAACCTAACCAAGGACCAAACATTTTCACTTGACGCAATGTCCCCATAAATTGATTGTAGTGCTGTAAAAACCATTTAATTTTAAAAGGTGCCCCGTGAGTGTTTTAGGGTGACCACACACATTTTCAGTGCATGGGTTAGTAAACTTCTTCTAGAAAGAACATAGTCTTTTACGTCTTTATGATAAATAAATTTACTTTTGAGATTTGCATTCCATTTTCACTTTGCCATTTTTTTTTAATGTTTCTTTGTTTTGAGACAAAGAGTGAGGGAGAGAGAGCAAGCGAGCAGGGGAGGGGCAGAGGGAGAGGGGGAAAGGGAATCCCAAGCAGGCTCCACACTGACAGCATGGATCTCACGAACCATGAGATCATGACCTGAGCCAAAATTCAAGAGTCAAATACAACTGACAGAGCCACCCAGGTGCCCCATCACTGCCATTTATTTAAAGAGCCACTTCAAAAATGGTTATTTGAACTCAGTTTGATAGAAGTATTTTGTACATATTTGTACATACATAAATTTCTGCATATGCAAATAAAAAGCAGTTAACTAAAGGCAATGTTTAGAATAGGATTTATTATAAATATAGCTGAGAAACCAAATTATTGGGAACTCAACTAAAGAAACAACAGTGACAAATGTCATCATCTTAGTGACAAATGTCATTATCTTAGGCCTTTGCTCTGAACAGTCAACTTGAAAGCTTTGGCAAAATAATCTGAAAACCTGCCAAATGCTGAATTGGATTGATGGAGCACTGGGTTGACAGTCAGAGAGGAGGCACGGATGGATGTGCGATGCACCATGAGGCACATGACCTTTCCAGACTGCGTGCATCCCTATACATGGAACTGTGACAGCTGGGTCCATACTGACGTTGCCCACAGTTCAATTACTATTCCATGAGTTACTCGGTAATTTGAAGTAGATGAAATTTCACTGGTATCATCCTGTAGTATACCGAAAAATCTCTTTTGTTCTAAGCATTCTGATTAAATTTTCCATTCCATTCCTTTCTACGAAATGCAGCCCCCTTGGCGGTATTACCATATAGGTTCGATATTATATAAATGTTATATTAATTCAATTTTGTTAAAGAAAGTGAATTAGGATAAAGAAAGAAATCAAGTTACTCAGTTTAACATTCAGCCTCCAGATAGTACTATTCCTAAAACAGTTCAGGAGAAAAAAAACATTCATCCTATTCCAGAAACACTTGAAAGAATGAGTTTCTACAACTTGTATTTTCATTACTAATAGTCACTTGTTTCTTTAACTTCTTGGAGGAAAGACACTGAACATACCTAATGAACAAGTAAAATTCTTTCTGTTTCAACCAGTGTTTCTTGTTTTATTGTCTGAGCAACAAAGACCAGCAGGTGCTATCCATGAATGATGATACATGATGCACTTGGAAAGGCATAATGTCGTCTTTTGACTTAATAAAATGTAATTTTTAGTACTTTTGATGGTTCGTAATCTGTGTTTAAGTGACTTTAAAATATGTATCTGAACCCTTGAAACAAATCCTGCTTACCTAGAAAGGACCCTTTTTTTTTTTAATTTTATTTTAAATTTTTTTAAATTTACATCCAAATTAGTTAGTATATATATAGTGCAACAATGATTTCAGGAGTAGATTCCTTAGTTCCCCTTACCCATTACCCCATCCCCCCTCCCACAATCCCTCCAGTAACCCTCTGTTTGTTCTCCATATTTATGAGTCTCTTATGTTTTGTCCTCCTCCCTGTTTTTATATTATGTTTGTTTCCCTTCCCTTATGTTCATCTGTTTTGTCTCTTAAAGTCCTCCTATGAGTGAAGTCATATGATATTTGTCTTTCTCGGACTGACTAATTTCACTTAGCATAATACCCTCCAGTTCCATCCACGTAGTTGCAAATGGCAAGATTTCATTCTTTTTGATTGCTGAGTAATACTCTATTTTGTGTATATGTATATATATATATATACACATACACACACATATACACACACAAAATATATATATATATATACACACAAAATATATATATATATATTCACCACATTTTCTTTATCCATTCATCCATCGATGGACATTTGGGCTCTTTCCATACTTTGGCTATTGTTGATAGTGCTGCTATAAACTTGGGGGTGCATGTGTCCCTTCGAAACACCACACCTGTATCCCTTGGATAAATGCCTCGTAGTGCAATTCCTGGGTCGTAGGGTAGTTCTAGTTTTAGTTTTTTGAGGAACCTCCATACGGTTTTCCAGAGTGGCTGCACCAGCTTGCATTCCCAAGAAGGGACCCTTTCTAATTCCAGACATAGAAACATACTGGCAGTGTGCAATTTAACTTTGGGACTCCAAAGACCAAGTCCCAGATTATTCTGTTTAGAAATTGTGATTCTTAAATCCTTAGGTATTTATTGTATATACAACTTCTACACACTTGTCATTCAGTTACACAAATACTGATTTCTCCACTTAGAAACTAGATACTTTCACTATCACATAAAACTGAGTACCAGTGGTTCTTTGTACATAACACATATTAGGCTCTTCATGGGCTACTTACGTGGAGAATTCTCAGAAATGACATCAGGCAGAAACTTACCCATGTTTCAGGCTAATTCCTCCTCCAGTCCCAGTGACCCAGCCCAAGTGGTAAAACTGTTTGCAAAGCTCTGGGATCAGGTATCTTGGATGTTCCTTGTCCTTAAAAAGAAGATAAGGATTTTTCAAACAGACATTATATTATTGGGTGACTTTTCCAGCTGACATCTTTGCTAAGAAGCCAAGAAAATCTACTATATAGAGAGGGTACCATGAGGGAGAAAACTATTATGAAACATACTTTGTTTTTTAAAGTTTTTATAAAACTTTTTTTTTCATGTTTATTTTTGAAGGAGAGAGAGAGACAGAGTGTGAGCTGGGGAGGGGCAGAAGAGAGGGAGACACAGAATCCAAAGCAGGCTCCATGCTCTGAGCTGTCAGCACGGAGCCCGATGTGGGGCTCGAACCCACGAGTTATGAGGTCATCACGTGAGCTGAAGTCAGACACTTAACTGACTGAGCCACTCAGGTGCCCCCATAATTTGTTTTTGATGTTTAGAAAGTGGATCTATGTTATTTGGCAACCTGGAATTATTCAGGATAGGGCCATATAGTCCAACACTATGGAATAGGCTATAAGAACAAGGTGGGGAAATGCCCAGTAAATAATGCAAAGCATCTACTGCAATGGCTGAAATAAAATAGAATTTAGTGCTGAAAGGAACATGTTTTGGTCTGTCCAGCAAATTTCATTACACAAAACATCTTATTCAGTTAAGTCATGATATACATATATATGACAGCTATTTGTTCATATTCTGTGTTGGTCTGATTTTATTTTTATTCTAAAATGTCTTTTCTCCATAGTGATTACATTGTTTTTGCTTATTACAAAATCAATATATATTCACTATGGAATATAACGTCAAGAAAAAAACATAGAAAGGACTCACTCAGAAGCAATCACAAGTAATACTTTCTGGGCCCATTTGTATGAAGATATGTGTGTATAGGAACAAATGTATATATGCTGGGATGAACATAGAGCTTTTATTCATGTATTTTTATTGAAGTATAATTGACATACAACATTATATTAGTTTCAAGTGGATAACATAAAGAGTAGGTATCTGTATATATTGTAAGTGATCAGCACAATAAATCTAGTTAAAGTAAGAGCTTATTTTTATTAAGTCTAATGATTACTTCTTTAGGAATAAAAAAATATGATGTTTCCCCATTTTTTAAAGTTAAAGTTAATAAAACCCAAAACAATAATGAAATGCAATGAATTCCATTTCTGGCAGTATGAAATCTAACTTTTACCTTGAAAACAACTGAAAATGTTGAGTACTTTTTTTTTCCTGAATAAAGTTTAAAACAAAATTTCAAATTAAATTGCTGAGCTAGCAAAAAAGTAAAGAAGGCTTCACAGTGGCCATAAAAGAAACCAGGGTGGGGGCTCCTGGGTGGCTCAGTCAGTTAAGCATCCAACTCTTGATTTCGGCTCAGGTCACGATCTCATGATTCGTGAAATTGAGCCCCACATTCGGCTGTGTACTGCCAGCGGGGAGCCTGCCTGGGATTCTCTCTCCCCTCTCTGCCCCTCTCCTGCTTGTGCAAGCTCACTCTCTCTCTCAAAATAAATAAACATTAAAAAAAAAAAAATAGTTGTTAAAAAAAAAAGAAACCAGAGTGAGTCTACCCCGGAGGGAAGCTCTGAAGCCATTTCCCTGAAGGTATTTGCAGATCTCTGGTGAGCTTGACCTTCAATTTTGATAGCTATGCAAGCTGTCAGATATACAAAATAAACCCTAGGGTGTGCTCAGAATGGGGTACCTAATAGAAAATCCCTCCATAGGCTTGAAACCAGATAAGAGGTTATACCCCCCAGGTAAGGGTAAACAAGAAATAGACCCTCTGTGCACAAAAGCACAGCTGGGAAGCTTGCCTGTACAAATCTTGGCACTGGATAAAGGGGAGAAATACCTTTGGGTCCAGAGAGGGCTGACTCTTGAGCACACCAAATTTTTAGCTACTTCACTGGCTTTCTGAAATTATAGTGTTTTCCCCGATTCACTGTTAATATTTTACATACACTTTGTATTTTATCATAAATAATAGTTTAATGGAGTAGACTTCAAAATGTAAAATTAAGAACACGGGAATGTTAAAATTTTTTAAAGTTCTGACTCAACACAGGCTTAGGAGTTAACGGACATAAAGTCAAACCTTCGTTACACTATTTATTGCTTATATGACTATGGGTTTCGGTTTACTAATCTACAAAATGAGAATATTATGAGGAGTAAAAAGAGATACAGTGCTACAGGCTCCCAGGTAAAGAGTGAATAAGTTTTTTTAAAAATGAGAAAAAATGGAGATAAAGCATCCAGGACAATGTGTGACAATGTTAGTTTCCCTCCCATTTTTTTCGATGTTATGTTAGTTTTTTCAATGTACAATAAACTCTGACAATTCCACATATTAGGCAATGCTCGCCACAGTAAATGCAGTTACCATCTGTCACCATACAGTGTTATTACATTATTGACTATATTCCCTATGCTGTACTTTTCATCCCTATGACTTATTTATTTTATAATTGGAAGTTTTACCTCCCTCCCATTTAAAGTGCTAAAAATTCTGGAATTGAAACTAATAATAAAGCTGTGTTGGTTTTCCTTATATCTGTCCCTACAAAATCTAGCCAGAATTATCCATGCCTTGTATAATTTGCCATTTTCTTTTTTAGTGATACAAATGATATTTTATATATTAAAGAACAGATAAGGAGAAAACTCCTACAGTTTTCCAATCCTTAAAACCATCCATTTGCACAGAAAGTTGCAAACATTATAGAAAAGAGTCTGTTATGGGTCTCCCCCTTCCCTTTTGTCTTCCAGTCCTGAGTTATTGTAGCAACTAGCCAGCTTCATACTACAGTGATAACCATGATAAGGCCGTTCCTGTTAATAAAGTTTCATTCATTTGTTCATACCCACAAAATTTCAATTTTAGGAAATTGCAGCAGTGGGAACTAACAGATATATTTGGTAAAAATGCAATCATCTAAATTGTTCAGGATGGTAAGAAAGTTAAGTATCAGAATGTATATTTCACTAAGAATTGACAAGAAGCTTAGTTAATATTTACTTCTCCCCTGAATGTCAATAATATTACTTATCTGTTACTATTATGTCTGGGTTTGTAAGAATTTTGAAACACATAACTGAAGATAGATTGCAATCAACTTCTGACAGTAGAGGTCCTATAGTGTGAGGGAGAAACATTTAACAGTATTTTGTATATAGCAAAAACATTAAAGCCTAAAAAGTTTTTGAAGCAAGACTTAATTTTTCCGATTTTTCAGTCCCGTTATTTTATGGAAATCAGTTTCACTGTCACTGAAATACTTGCTCACAGCCAACAAGGATTCTACTCCCCTCCCCCACCTTTTCTTTCAATTGAAGCATAAGAGAGGTACTGCTTGGACAGAGGTTTGCCTGGGGGACTCTCAAAACAAATATAAAATAAACACGTGTCAAATATATTATTTAACCCATCGGCTAGTGAGGGAACCAGAAACATGATACTGCTGTGTCCAAAGAGAAGGCAAAACATCACCCATATAAGTAATTAGGAATTCTGGATTTATAAATGAGGAAAAACTGGACAGTATCCACCAGGCAGCAGCGAACTGAATGTCCAGAATGCAGCCTGCATTTCTAGGGTCAGTAATCATCTGCATTACTGTCAGATTCTACAATTACAGAGTTGCACAATAGCTCAAAGATAGCCCGTGACACCTAGTGATCTTTTCTGCTCATTTCAGTCTTTCAAAATTCTTGACACTGGCCCAAGGGAGGGACTGGATTCAGACACGGCCAAGTTGTCGGCATTTTTTCAGTCTCTGGGCTTTGTTTCTCTCTGCACATCTCCTTCTCCTCTCCGTGCGTACTGGCTTTCTTTGCAACTTTACCTCCACTGACCCTATTTCTCCCTTCCACTTTCACCACACTTACAAACTCTTTTTCACGCCAGTTAGGCACTGACTGGAAGAAATGAGAAGGCGTGGAGGCTTGCTTCAGCTTTGACCCCCAACTAGCTGAATGCCCTAAGGCAAGTCCGTGACCCTTTCTGGGTATCAGTTTCCTTATGCTAATAATCTGGATCAGTGATTTCCAGACTTCTGATTTTCAAAACCAGAGTTTGTAGGGGCGCCTGGGTGGCTCAGTCGGTTGAGAGTCCGACTTCGGCTCCGGTCACGATCTCACCGTTTGTGGGTTTGAGCCTCACATCAGGCTCTGTGCTGACAGCTCAGAGCCTGGAGCCCGATTTGGATTGTGTCTCCCTTTCTCTCTGTCACTCCCTGACTCACGCCCTGTCTTCCTCTGTCTCTCAAAAATAAATAAACATTAAAAAAACATTTTTTTTAAACCAGGGTTTGTTGTTGCTGTTGTAGTTTAAATTTTAGGGACTGACATAAGGTTGCTAAGTTATAAAGGTAATTACATTTAACCATCTACTATCACTTTTTTCAAAAAAGAAAGTACATTTTAAAATTTTATTTAATTTTTTTTTAAGTTTATTTATTTTGAGAGAGACAGAGAGTGTGAGTGGAGGAGGGGGAGAGAGAGAATCCCAAGCAGGCTCCGCAATGCCAGCACAGAGCCCGATGCAGTGCTTGAACTCACGAAACCAAGAGATCATAACCTGAGCCGAAAGCAAGAGTTGGACACTTAACCAACTGAGCCCCCCAGGCGACGCCCAAAAAGTACATTTTTAACATAAAGAAAAGAGTAGGAAGGTTCATCTCAAAATAAAAGGTTGTCCTTTAAACCGAATGTGTTAATTTTGTGAAATTCACTTTTTGATTGTCCTTATTTTCTTATTTTGCAACAGTTGAGTAAAAACTCTTTCAAGGACTCATTTGGGGAGGAATAAGGTTATCTGTCCCTATTTGGTCTCCTTGCCTACAATTTCTCCTTTCTCTCCCTCTTCTCTAGCTTACCCTCCTCTCTCCCACGAGCACTAAAAGAATATACTGCTTTGATCACTGCACCCCATCCCTCCAATCACTTACTGCTCAGGTGCACCTCCTTGGTCTGTTATTTAAGTCCTTCTGCTTTCTTGCCCCAATTTTACTTTTTGCCCATTTT